ACACTCTACCGCAATCATTTTTCTTTTTATATTAGAAATATTATATATTGTTAATTCAAGTTATTAGCAAGTAACAAATATATACTCATATTTAAAAGATTTCAACAAGAAAAATTAATAATAAGTATAAAACTAAATTTATACTATATAAATGAAGAATTTTTAAGAATTTAATCGTGTCGTGTCTGTATTTTTTTTTGAAAATCGCGTGCCGGCGTATTTGACACGTATCCTGTCGGACACACATGTCCGTGTCAGTGCATCATGGCTTCTCATATTAGTAGCTATGGTTGCTATCTCCCTGGTGAGTTGAGCAGCTACTCTCATACCATCCTGCCTATGGTGGTGGTGGGGACGACACCAACCCATTCGGGTTGTTGCTTGTGGAGCCTTTTCGTTATGGTTTTCTCTTACCCTCTTAAGAGGGAAATTACGATCTGAACTCATTTTTTCTTAGATAAACGGTTGTATTTTTCCAACTTCTGGGGCTTTCACTTGTTCTTTTTCAAGGGGGATGCCTAGCTATTTTTTGGCAAACTTTTTCCACTGGAATGTTCGTGGTTATAGTGGCTTTTCCACATATGGTGTCAATCTGTTGACGTCGTTTTACGCATCGTTGACACAGATAATAGATACCAGGCCCACTCGATATCTCTCAAGCTAATCCAACATGCGTGGACAGATTGTCAATCGATAATGTCTCGAATTTGAACGTGGGAGAAGTTTTATAGTATGAGACAAATATGTTCGGGTTCCAGCAAAATATATGAAATAAATTACACGATAATGAACGATCGTCTAAAAGCCAAACTCAGGATCAAAACCACACATCAAAATTAAAAACCAAAGCTTAATTAAAAGGGGCAGAATGTATGGCTTGCAGTTGATATATTTGCATCCCTAAAATGAAATAAAGGGAGATATTTATAGTTTTACATGTAAAATAGTGTCCATGGGATGGGGGGACACGTGACTTCATCTTCTTAATCGAGACATCTTATCATAAGTATCAATTTTGACTCCACTAGCCTATGGCGCATTAAATGTTCCTAAAAGGAGGTAGCCACCGTATAACTTATGGTGACAAGACTTTAACTTTTCTTATTACAAAAGTCGAATCAATCATTCCAAAAGGATTTCATAAATTCAATATCTTCAAATGTGGTCTATCACCGGTCTTAATTGAGCTTTGGATTTTATTTCATTGAGCCTCACCACTTCGGTAAAAGGGGCTTCGGCAAGTCCATTCCATGAAACCGCTTCGGTGCTTCAGATTTAGTGCACTTTGATAGGTCCTATGCACTCTATGTGGGATGCCACATGGCTTCGGCAGAAGGAACCTCGGGTCGGTTGAGCCACGTGGGAGCCTAGGTGGCGAAGCGTAACAGAGCTAAATCTTATTTTCTGTGGTTTGGGGTTGGCTACAAGAGTCTTTTTCATCCACTCTGTTCAGTTGATTATAGATTTATTAAAAGATGTGAAGTAACTAGATTATTGGCAACTACAATGGGCCATGCTAGTTTTTGCCCTCTTTTGAAATGATTCACCGACATGGCATCTCTCTTATCAATGCAAGCCTCTTTAGATCTACACAAAATTTGTTCCATCCACCTAAGTTATGTTGTCTTTTCATGGAAGGATATTATTTATATCACAATGTTGTATTCAATTGAATGATTTAAGTAGGGTCAACCCCATCTCTTTTGTTTATATGACCACTCTGTGCTTTCAATAAGACAAATTATATGCTACCGTGTGGACCTGAAGATGCCAGTAGATTATATAGCACAGTCACAAGAGGGTTGGATGATAAGTAGGACGGTGCAATTGAGACGGGCTTTTCTATTTAAATTGATCTTATATGTTTCTTTTTTACTGGATCATTCTTGTTTGTTAGACATCATAAAAGTTAGTCATCTATAATCTGCTTTCTTTTCCCATATTGAAAATTGAGGACCTGTAATTTCTTTTTATTTGATTTCCTTTTTTTGGCTGAACTATTGCTTAGTATGTGGTCTTGGTTATTTTGAATAGTAATTAATTGCTGCATTCTTTTGTCACTCGCAGCAAAGGAATCCTTGAGTCTCTGAGGAAGAGAGCACAAATAATGACAGATGGATTCAATAGCTGTAGAAATGTAGTCTGCAATTTTACAGAAGGTAAATCATTGCCTTAGGATGCACGGGATTTCTAAACCCGTCACTCCAAGAACACCCTAAAACGCGGTCAATAAGATATCCACTTTCCTGCGTGTCACAGAGTTATTCATTGTTAAGAACTAAATGATTTCAGGTGCCATGTATTCCTTCCCACAAATACGTTTACCTCCAAAAGCAATAGAGGCTGCAAAAAAGGCTGGAAAAGTTCCCGATGTTTTCTATTGTCTCAAGCTTCTAGAAGCCACAGGCATTTCTACTGTCCCGGGTTCGGGATTTGGTCAAAAGGATGGGTATGTCCAAATTTAAGTTTTTCGTTATGGTTAGTTTTATGTGGAAGATTGCTTACATGCCACCACCTTAGTTTTTTGTCGGGAAGTAATGCTTAAAATCGTATATTGGGAAGATATCACGTTTTTAGGTGGTTTGAGGATATAGCTCCATGCCACTATTTGGTCGCAACTTTCTATACAATTGAGGCGCATTAAATTCCTTAGTGGCCATTAAAACTTCATTTTGTTTCAAGTTGGTGATTGAAGTTAAACTGCGTCCATAGTCGTTAGTTTAATGAACTCAAGATAACGGACATGGTCGGAATGACTAAATTCTAACAAATGTTCTAGTTCAATGACCAACTTGAAACAAAATGAATTCCGTTGTTAGTTCAGTGGCCACCAGTGTTTTTAACTTGATTGAGGCTAATAGTAACTGTATTTCTAGGGTTTTCCACCTGAGGACAACCATCTTGCCAGCTGAGGAAGACATGCCGGCCATCATGGCTAGCTTCAAGAAATTTAACGACGAGTTCATGGAACAATACGAAGACTACAGAGGCTATTCGAGGATGTAAACATGTGGTCGAACGTCTACTGTATATCTGCTTCAGCTGTTAAGAACCTAAAAAAAGTTTCCTTTATACCTCATTTATATTTACATCTTTGTTCAAAAGTGATTACTACAGTTACTTATGCTTGACACATTATATGAGCATATATATTCCCTTGCCTGTCTTATTAGTTATTTGATCACTTCATTTTGGTGGTAACAAAGCCAATAATTTTTCTCATGAACAAGTAAAGATAGTGAAAATATCCAATAATCACAAGATTAAAATAGGATTTTGAGAATTGTGTCGATTTTGAAGGTAGATTAGACCATGACAAGCTAAATTGGAGGAGCCAAGCTGCCCAACTCAGGCCATAGTACATACAATTTGAGTTGATTTCTTCTCAACTGTAGATCTCAGCACCCAAAAAGTCTAGACAAACGATGGACCAAGTCACCATGTTGAGCCATGCTAGGTCAACTCGTGTCGATATTGAAGGTAGGTTAGACCATGTCAAACTAGATTGACACGTGTAATATATATATATGTTTTGTCAGATTTTGCTCCAATAAACGAGCGCAACCAACTTAACACTTCGAACGCCAAAAAGATCAATTCTCTTTACACGTCTTCATGAGACGGTCGAAACATATTAATTTCGCGTCTCACTAGAGAATTTTGTATATAGTGAGGGTAAACATGGAAATGAAAAATATTTGACGACTGAAAGCAAACAAATAGCGCCAGGAATTTAATATCAATGTCATAACTATTTACTCAACTGCCATGCGGTCAGAAATATTCACGGGCATGTTTAAGCTACTTTTGCTTAGGTCACGAATTCCTCGTCTTTTTCAACAAGACACAGTATTCACCATTAATCTTCCCCATTTTCTTCGAATATAAACAAATTTATAAGTACATGGGCTTTATAGGTGCTTAGATGGTAGCATCTGGATTGTTGATTTTAGACTCGATTAAACGAGTCATGTGACTTTGTATTTATATGAGTAATGTTATTCATCCTCTGTGGGGTTACAAACACAGTTGAAGTGGCTCTAAATGATAGGTGAAATTAAATAATTCATTTAGCCCATGATTGATATCCATTCTCTTTCTTATTTTTTTTCTCTTTCTTCATTTCAACCCAAAAATTCTTCTTAATTTTTAACCACACATTCTTCCCATCAATCACTATTCCAGAATTTATTTTTCTTCAAAATGGGTGTCAAACACACTTTACCTTTCATTTAATCTATCATTTAGAGTCACCTAAACTGTATTTGTCCCAATGGGGATGAATAACATTACTCATCATTTAATATCATTTAATTACTATATAGATTGGGGCTCAATCCCAATGGAAATGCATAACATTATTATTTTTGTATACACCAAGTAGCTCTCTTTATAATAATGTCTCGTTTTGAACAGTTTAAACTTTTAGATACAATAATAACATCTAGTCGTGGGTAATTCACTTCTCCATGGAGCATTCAATTTCACCGAGCCCATGTTGGATATCTTCTTCAAATATTAAATAAATAAATGTTTCGACCCTTCCACTGGGGCCATTTAGACCCTTATTTGTGTGTCTACTTGAATGAAGTTTCTATAGCCAAAGGCCCTTTTTCAATGATATCCTACAACTTTCTCTTCAAGATTATCCTTGTGGTTTCTTGAGAATCTATTCTCTTCACCCTTTACGCACAAACTCCAACATTTTCGAAATCTTGATCTTACAAACATAGTTATTACAGAAAAGACTCATCAAATGGATGGAATTGCATTGAGAAATCCCCTCAAGCCAATATGTACAAATCCAGTGGAGAAATTACTGCTGCAAAAAGATGAAGAAGAACAAGAGTTTTCTACAACACCAAAATCTGCAGATTCAAGAATTCCAAGCAGATTGATATGTCCACCTGCCCCGAAAAAGCGCAAAGCTTCTTCAAGATGTCATTTTGCTGGTGTTATGGAGTTCTTCAATCCACCAGACCTAGAAACAGTTTTCATTCCTTGGGTCAAAAGAGCCTGAACGGTACTGAACAGTATAATGAATAAGATTTTAACTTCTTTTTCTTCCTTAGCAAATCCTAAATGTTTAACCCCATTCTTTTCTAATTTTTAGTCTTTAGTTGTTGCCAGGAGTCTCATGCACATGGCTCTTATGTACAAATAAGCTGGCAATTTAAACTTATAAGCAGTTTCAATGATTTTCTTTTGAGGATTCATCCTTGTGCTTCTGTGTTAGCTCAAAGTATCCTAGTATGTTGCTAAAACTATTAATGTTGTCTGATTTTCTTTCAAATTAGCATATTAGTTTTCAATATTCCTAGAGTCAAATGGACAAAAGTTTAATGTACTGTGTGTAAATTTTAACTTATAAGTCAAATGGACAAAAGTTTACATATTCCTGTGTGTAAATAAGCAATTTTAACTTATTATAAGTCGTTTCCGTATTGATTTTCTTTTGAGCATTCGTCCTTGTACTTGTGTCTTTGTTAAAACTGAATCCTTTGTATTGCTAAAATCAACTTTTTGTTATTTCCTTTTTAATTTACAATATTATACTCGAATGGGAAAACTGCGTACATCAAGCGTTCTTGCATGCAGAAAATGTTTTGTCGTGTTAGGGGACAAAATGATCAAATTAGGTCATCTGGGCCAAATTTAGTTATTTTTTAACAAAGCATTTTTAGATCATAAGTCGGTGGATCCCATGAACTATGTGGATAAAAGTGAATAAAAATTGTGGATTCAATGAAATGTGTAGCTAAAAATAAAATCTGACCAACTTATAATCTTAAAAATTCTCTGTCAAACGAGAACTTAGATTTGATTTCCTCGTGCAAGTCATCTAGTACTCATCGTTCACGGTTAGGCAAAGTTTGAACTCGATTATCTTCGTCTACTAAGTGACTAAGAAAAGAAAAAATGGTGAAAAAGGTTCCAATATTATTCAACTCCAAGCTAATGTTTCGTACATATGCTTTAATATTTATTTTTAACTGCATATTCTTTCAAATAAAATAATTTTACATATAGATCCATAATTTTTTTTTTCTACTTTTTAAAAATTCATTCTTAAAAAAATAATATTTTTTATGAAATATATTCTTCAAAAATCTACATCAAAATATGCCTAAGTAGTTGCTTTACACTCTTTCTCTCTATCATCATCTCCTCTTTAGCCTTTGCGTATGTCCCACCAAACAATTGACTCTAAACCCACCTCAGGTTCTTTAGTGATAAGAAAAAGGCACAAGACAAAATACATACACCTAAGGTTCTTTAGTGATTAGAATCCTATGCTATTTGAATGGCACTAATAAATAATACATGTACATTGAACCCCTTTTGTTCCAAATTC